GGACGCTGCCACCACGGGGAGCCCCCAGCAGCTGGTAGGGACTGACCCCATGTCCCCTGTGTGATGGCAAGGGCACGCTGGGACCCAGCTGGGGATGGGGGAGCCGATGCCCAGAGAGGGCTGTGGGCAGAGTGTGGGCATTGCTCATGGCCCCAGGACAGTCTTAGCTGCAACTCAACCAAACACCGATAAATGTGACTGAGCCCGGGCAGGGCCACCCTCTGCACCCAAATGGAGGCAAACGGTCACTCCTTGCTCTGCCTTTGCCCCAGATACATCTGCCTGGGGAGCAGGTGAGTCTGCAGGGGCGTGAAGTGGTTTTTGTGCTGTTTTATAGACAACTGGCGAGAAACACGGTGAGAAACGCCCCCTTCCAGGACACACCTCTCTATGTCCCTCCTCCTCCACCTCCTTACCAGCCCCCTCCCTGTATTAAATCCCCTCTCCAGGGCGGTTTGCCCCATCTTGGGTGGTTTTCCCCCTCCTCCCGAGAGCAACCCCAGGCGCATCCCTGTCCCCGGAGACTGGCAGGGATGAAGTCTCACCGTTGGAGCAGCCCCGGGGCCGCGCCCCTCTGGCCGGTGCTCTCTGCAGGTCAGCCTTGAGGCGGGGCCGGGCACCGCCCCGCTCCTTCTGCAGCGTGTCCAGGACGTCGCTGACGGAGCTCACCAGCCGAGCCATGTTGGTCTGGCTCTCCGAGAGCAGCTGTGGGCAGGGGACACACGGGGGGACACGGGATTGTGGTTAAATGTGGTTAAACCCTTTCCACGCCCCAGCCCCTTGACACTGTGAGGATGCTCTGCCCGCTCCCACGGCTCAGCAGTGCTCCCTGCCAGGGCATGGGATGGTGGGGACATAAAGCCACAGCAGATCCCTCACAGCATCTCTTTTTGGCTGTGGGTCAGGGTCCAGATAGTGCCTGTTGCCACCAGGGTCGGGAAATCCCTGGACCTGGGTATGTCAGTGCTGCCACCCCTCAGGATAAAGAGCATCTCTGGGCAAAGGACAGGATCACGGAGGCGGCAGGAATAGCTGTGTCCTGAGGCAGCCACCAGCTCTTCATCGTCCCCCGAGGTGACCCGGGCTGGGAGAGTGACACGGGGTGGCTGTGGCAGAGCAGCAGGATGGGGAGTGAAGTGAAGCAGCGAGAAACAAACAGCTCCTGATGGAGGGAGTTGAGCAGCAGGAGGGTCGGGCATGGAGAGGAGTACTCAGCCCTGTCCTGGACCTTGCTACAACACCTGGCAGACCCCCAGCAGACCCAGGTAAGCATTGCAATACAGTTCATCAGCTTGGCAATTTGGGGGATTGTAAATAAGGGGAGGGTGACTGCTGCCTGAACTGCCCGTGGGAAGGTCCTATGCTGTGCTCAGCTCTGACTGGAGCCTCCAAACTAGACCCGGAGCCAGGAGAACCACAGTGTGGGAGGCTGCATGCCCAGCTCACTGGCACTGGGGTGGTTTGGCAAAGAGACACTTCCCAACTTGCAGTTCCCAAGAACCCACCTTCAACCTCAGCTCCTTCTGCTGGAGGTCTCCCCCAGACACCACGGGCAGGGGCGCTGCAACCAGCAATGCCCTCGGGGACAGTGGGACAGGGTGTTCTACCCCCGAGGAGCCCCGAAGCTCACCTGGATGAGCCTGCCCTGCTCTCCTTGCAGGGCGCTGAGCTCCTGCCCCATGGCGCTGTGCCCCTTCTTGAGGCCGTCGCAGTCGGCGCGCAGCTGCACGGCGTGCGTCAGCAGCTTGGCCACCTCGTCCGCCACCGTGACCAGCAGGGCCTTCTGCTGGCTCTTGGTGGCCTTGGCCTCGGCGTCGTGGTCGGTGACGGCGCGCAGCAGGGAGATCTGCATCCCCTCCATGCGGCCCAGGGTGCCGGCGGCGCTGGGGCAGTTGGGGTCGATGAAGATGTTGATGCGGGAGCTGTCGGCTTTCTCGATGGTCACCAGCGCGTTGGCCTCCTCGGGGTTGGTGCTGATGACCGGGGGCGACTCGGTGACGGGCGTGTGGTAGTGGTTCATGAAGAGGATGGCCCCCGTGACTGTCACCGCCAGGAGGACGGCCACTGACAGCAGGACGGTGCACAGGATGTACCCACAGCTCATCCTCTGTCGGCAGAGAGACAGACACCGTCGGCGCCCGTCGGGACAGACCCAACCCGCTCCCTTTCCTCCAACAGGTAGGCTCAAACCCTCACAGGCTTTGGGGGGTGTGAGAGAGCAACAAGGTTGGCCATGGGGCTGGTGACAGAAGAGGGGAGGTGGGAGACCCCAGGGAGCCCTGAGGCTCTGGCAGGGATGTGGAGGCCACGGGTGAACACTCAGTGAGCAAAGCAGCCAAACCCGCCTGGGAGCAGGGTATGAAATAATAACGAGAGCGAAGGCACGGCAGCCACCAGCTCCCGCTGGCATGTTTTATTTACGGTGGTGATCCTCGGCTGGAGCAGTCCTGGCTCCCTGGGAGAGCAGCATGTGGGGGTCCCTGCTGCCCTGGGCACAAATATGGGGAGAAAAAGGGAAAACACCCCCTGTGTCCCCTGGAGGCCAACTGCAGGGAAAGCAGGGAGGACAGCCCAGCAGCAAGGGGAGGGTGTGGGTTGTTGCTGGGGACACATTGCCCTGAGCATCGTGGGGACCTGCTCTGCATGGGGCATCTCCCAGATGTGGCATGCCACATGTCCCCATCCTCCTTGCACCCTCCCTGCCTGCTGAAGGGGAGCAGAGCTGCTCTCAAAGCCCTTAGACCAGTCCCAGAGCCTACTGGTGAGGGGAAGGTGCTGTGGGAAAGATCTCTGACCCTCCCCAGGCCCCTCCAGCAGTTCTGCTGCTGTACAGACCCCTTGGCTCAGCCTGTGGGAGCTGCTCCACTGCCCACCAAGAGCCTTTTCTCCCTGCAGAGCATGAAATGCCAACGCAGTCAGTGCAGAGGGAGTGAGCTGCCACCCGATCCCGCCAGCTCCCAGTCCCCCTCCACCTCCCCTCCTCATTACACCTGCAGGACAGAGGCTGTGATTTTCCCCTGACCCTGGCCACGGCTGTCACAAGGAATTGCAGGGCTGGCAGCAAACTGCAGATTCAGAGAGACAAAGACTACTTTCCTCTGAAACGAGGGGAAAATTGCTGCATCTGCAAAGATTTCCCAGGCCCTGTCCCCTCCTGTGCACATCTATCTGGAGTGACACCTTCCTTCAAGCACCCTTCATTTCATTCACGCTCACGCAACCATTTGCATTAAGGTGACCCCAGCTGCGGAGGGGCCAGCCGGCCACCAGCCCCGGGGGATGTTCCAGGTTTCTTCCCCAGCCCATGGAGGGAGGCTGGAGATGCAGACAGCACTGGCTTGAATGGGGAAGCCACTTGCAGGGAGCTCTGTAAGGAGAGAGCCTCAGGCTCAGCCCCTCAGCGCACGATAAAAGGAGATGTCAAAGGCAATAAGGGGAGCTTTTGGCAAGCAGAGGGTCAAGGAGTTTTCCAGTGTTTGTAGACACAGAGCCCTGGCTTGGGGGCACAAGGGACACCCAGGAGTAGCAGGATGGTGGCAGACAGAGGTGGGAGATGTCCACTGCCGAGACCCTTATGTAGATACCCAGGACCTGGGCTCAACCCAGCCCCTCAGCACCCTGAAGGCACAGAAGTGACAGGAGGGATGGCTGCTGAACAAAAGCCAGCATTGGGTGGTTTGGGATCCACGGGGTGAGCAGGGGCCATGCCCCTGTGGCTGTCCTGGCTATCACAGCACCTTCAGCTCCATAACTTTGTGCCCTCCCATCCTGCTGCTGCTGCTCCCCACTGCACTGATGTCCCCAGCTCAGGGGGCACATGGATGGGCCGAGGGACCTCTCTGAGCAGTAAAGATTTTCAGAGCAGAGCTGTGCACAGCTGATGCTTCACTTCCCACAGCCACACAAATCCCAACCGGGCTTTAACACACCAAAATCCTGCAGCTCTGCTCAGGTCTACCATCACACTGGGAGCTGTATCCAGCTGCTTTCCAGCCTTTAAGACATAGAATCACTGCCCTCCCACTGGCACCAGGAATAGGGGACCAATCCCCTTCCAAAATTATCCCCTCTGCTTGGAACCACAAGATCCTGAGTGGCAGCAGCTTCACGAGTCCCACGGCATTTTGCTGGCAGGTTGTGTTACCTGGCAACCTGCAGTGGGGAGAGGAGGGAAACTCAGTCAGTGGCACCAGCAACGCTCCAAACAGGGATGGGGGTCCCCCCAAACTCCCCCAGCACAGCAGCATGGCCAGCTCTCAGCACTGGACCCTGTGGATGCCTCTGACACACGTTCCTACACCACCATGGCCACGGCCTTCATGACCCCAGGGGTTCCTGCTGTCTGTTCCATGTCCTCAGGCTCCTGGATCTTCTTGACAAGACTTCCATGCAGCTGCAGGACATCCCCCTGCCCTGGTTCCTGATATCCCTCTGGAGACATCTATCAGGCTGGAGGTCCCAAGGTCTCCAAATCACTCCTTCCTGAGGAGAGCAGAAGCTGCAAGACTGGGTGGTGCTCAGGAGGAGCGGAGCTTTACTTGCAAACCTGCTGTAGAGCTGGGACTGGAGCTTGGGAAAGAGCCCCAGGCAGAAACCAAGGCATGGTTTTGTCCCTGGTGCAAAGCTGACCCGGGCTCTTCATGCCCTGCACTGGCTCAGGCAGTGGCTCTGTGCTTGGTCACCTGTGGGGACTGTGTCCCTGGTGCCCCAGCCACACTGCATGAGCCACCTGCAGGCTGCCCTGCACCCCATCGTGCCCCCCAAAACATCCCCCAGCCTCCTCACGGCCTGTGCTGGGGAGGAGAGACACTCAGCCTGAAAGGAGGGGAGGACACGAGCTGACTTGTCCCCAGAGCAGACAGAGGTGGCTGGTGCCTGCAGAGCATGGACACAGTGGTGGCAGGAGAGGCTGAGCTCTGCCCTGGGAGATGCTCTTTGAGGAGGAGGTGCCCTTTGCTCCTGCCAAAGCCACTGCTCCTTGCCGGCTCACCACCAAGTGCTGCTGTGGGATGGCAGGCAGCAATCCCAGCAAACCCAGCAGCCTGGGTGCTCTCCCCCTGAACCAGGACCGCTGTTCTGCTTCTGAGGCAGGGGGACGCTGCTTTGCATTGCCCAGGCTCAGCTGCTGGTGCAAACTTTAGCCCAGGTACCCTCACCTTCCTGCTGGAGCCCACCCAGCACTGTAGGCACCCCAGGGCAGCAAGGGTCAGTCCCCTGCACCCCCCGCCCCCCTCTTCCCTGAACTCATTGCTTGCCCCAGAGCTGCTCGAGCAGCTCATTTTGCATCCCAGCCGCTGCCCTGCTTGCTCCACTGCCCTGTCCCTCTCCACCCTCCCCGCCTGTCCAGCCCTGCTGTTCCCAGCCTGGCGCCGGGGCTGTATCCCAGCTGCCTCCCGGAGCCCAGCGCCGCGCTCCTCTGGCTCCCCGCAGGCACCGAGAGGATGAACTGAATCCCGCTCCCGTTCCCAGCTCTTTCCATCACCCAGATCCTGCCTGCGACCGCTCCCACGCCACGCTCTGCGGATCGGGAAGAGGAGAGGAGACGGGAAGGCTGGTGAGCACAGCGGAGCCGGCTCTGTGGGTGAGCATGCAGGCGGGCTGGGCTGGGATTTCGCCGGAGCTTACAGAAGCTGGGATAGCAGCACCGGCTGCACGGGAAACTCTGTGCATCCTTTGCAACCCACCGTGAACCGTCAGCTCCAGGCAGGGTCGTGCAGTGCCTTGCGGGAGGTGGGGCTGGATCTGTCCTGCCCAGCTCACTCTCGGGGCCACGGGGGGGACACAAAGCCGGGGGGGTGGCAGCTCCAGCCCGATGGCGCTGCTCGGATCCCTGCGTGGAGGGGCTGCGCACAGGAAGGCAGCTTTCCCGGGGAGAGAAGAGTGAGGTTTCTCTCTTGGGGGGTCAGGGATCTCCCGGGGTGCGCAGCCCCGCTCCCCTGAGGTGCAGAAGCCGTTCCCGTGAAAGGGCTGACCGGGGACAAGAGGGCGCAGGCAAGGGGTGTGTGCAGAAGGGCCAAGCCAGGCAGAAGTCCCTCTCCTGCCTCACTGCGGGTGGCAGGGGACAGGGAAGTGTCAGACCTGGGGGCGAGCGTGTCTCACGGCTGCTTCCCCCACCCTCGCCCAGCGCCGGGGTGCGGAGGAAGGGCAACACTGCCAGCTCTTGGCTCCTTCCCTCCAGTCACAATCGGAGACTCGCTCTCCTCCAGCTCTTCCTAGACGCTTTTGCCCATACTCAGCACCTCTTCTTCCCACCCTGCCTGCGCCCAGCGTGCCCGGCCGTGCGGCCGTGCCTGTGCCTATCCCTGGAAGTGTCCAAGGCCAGACTGGACGGGGATTTGAGCAACCTGGTCTAGTGGAAGCTGTCCCTGCCCACGGCAGGGGGGTTGGAACGAGATGAGCGTTGAGGTCCCTTCCAAACCCAAACCGTTGCGGGATGCTCAGATCCCCCGCCTGCTCCGCTGTGCTCCGCGGCCGGGCCACGCCGGGGATGGGGGAGCTGCCACACGTGCAGCGGGATGTGCAAACAGGCTCCGGCACGTGCCGGATCCCCCGCGTGTCACCGCAGGCTCTGCCGCCGCTCCACCGCACCCCGCCGCAACGCCGGCCTCCCCCCCAAAAAAAACCAGGGGCGCTCCTGGAGGTTAAGAGCGGGCCAGGCAGCCGGGAGCCCCCGGACAGGGAGGGATGACTCCGGCTGCCGCGGGGAGCTGAGATGCCAAATCCCTTTTAAAGGGTTATTTAAGCAGTTTAAAGCGTGCAGCGGTTCAGCAGAGGAGTGTGGCAGCCCCGGAGCATCGCCCGCTGCCCGGCCGGAGGCAGCCCCGGCGCTGGCGGGGGGGGACCCTGGCTGCGGGTTAATAAACACAATAATTTGAGGCGGGGGTGGGGTGGGCTGGGAGGAGTGCGACCCGGGGGGCTCCGCACGGGAAAGACCGGGAGGCAGCTCACCATGCCGGGCTGCACTCGGAGAAAAGCTCGCTGGGGGAACTGGGGGTTCGGTGGGACCCCCGGGATGGCTGACCTCCCCCCTCCGCCCTCCGCCCCGTACCTGCGATTTCTCCTGCTGCCCATCCTCAAGTTGCGAGGCTCCTCCCACGGTTTTCCAACGCTCGTTCCCCATCTCGCCGCCAACTTCCAGCCCAAGTAAGTGCCCGGACCCCCCCAGAACCCCCCAAACCTCCTCCCCGGCGGCGCAGCCCCCGGCCCGCCCGCACTGCCCGGCTGGCCGCGGCGGAGGAGGCGGCGGCGGCGGCGGCGGCGGCGGCGGCGGCGGAGGAGGAGGAGGGAGGGAGGAAGAGGAGGGAGGGAGGACACGGGCACGGACACGGGGGTGGATCTTCCCTCTCCGCCCGCCCTGCTCCCCGGGCTCCCCCGGCCCCGCTCCGGCCCCCCCACCCAGTGATGCCCCGGGGGGTCTCCCCGGCCCCCTCAGCACAGCCCGCAGCCCCACGGCCGCCCCAGTCATTCCGGACTGGGACCAGATCCCCCCTCCTCCAGCCCCGGGCTCCACAGCTGCCCAGATGTGGCAGCACAGCTGGAGGAGCGGCAGCAGGTAAGGCGGGGGCTGGTGCCAGAGGGGCCGGGGTGCTGTAGGGGACCGGGAGGCGAAAGGAAAGGCGGATGCCCTGGGGACCCGCTCACCCCCTTTCCAAAGATACGCCCCTTCACCCCCAAGCTGACGGGGCTCAGTCCCGCCGGTGGGCAGGAATGGGCAGGGTGCTGGGCAGAGAGGGGGGGGCACTGGCACGCCCCCCCCCCCCATAACCTTTGTGCCCAAGGGTAGCCAAAGTGCTGGGGGGCTCAGAGCAAAGCCCAGGCACAGTGGGAAGCTGGTGCGGGCTGGCGCGGGAGGAGGCAGCAGCTCCCCCCCTAAGGGGTCGCACTGATGCCCACTGGAGCATCCCTTGCCCAAACCCCAGCGCTGTCAGCCCAAAGCAGTGGTGCTGGCCCTGCGTGCCAGGAGTCCCTCCCGGCCTGATGTGCCGCCACTCCCGAGTGGATGTGGTTTTCCTTCCCATAGCTTTGCCGCACCTCCCGTAAATCTTTTATTTGCCACTTGTCTGACCTGCGGGCAGGAGCGTTGCTGAGAGGTTCAGAGGAGCATCATGAGAGCAGCAATGGCTCAGCCCTGCCTTAATCCATCTGGAGGGAGGCTGGGTTCTCTCTCCGTGCTGAGAAGCTCCTGGGAAACCTCCTGGAGGGGCTCTGCACCCACCCCGCACACTCTTGTCCTGCAACATGGGGCTGTCCCCTGGGCAGGCAGCACAATGGGGCTGGGGGTTGCTTCAAACCCCCCTGGGTCTCTGTCCCTGGAGCTCAGCCCAAGCTGGGACCCTTCAGCAGCTCCCATGTGGTAGCAGGTCAGGTATGGAGGTGTCAGGTTGGTTGTGTGTTGGGGGGCAGGGGTCCAAGCAGCTTCTTTCCAGGACACACACCCCATTTTGGGAAGAGTTAGTGCGTGCTGGGTCAGCTGGTTCCAAAAGGGCTCTCTGGAGCAGGGAGGGAATCACAGGCATAGCCTCAAGCAGTCAGAGTGTGTGAGAGTGTGTGTGTGTGTGTGTGTGTGTGTGTGGTTTCCTGGCAAGGTGCAAACCCTGCCTTTGGCTGCGGTGATGTTGTGTGTGGATTTACCGGGCGATGCTCATGGCTGGCAGCCCAGCTCCTTCCCCACGGACGGTTTTCAAGGACTTCCCTTTACAGCTGAGACCGGCCAGCTCGTGCCACCAGTGGGCTGTTTGATGTGCCCACACCAGCTCGGCTCAGCCCCTGGCTCTGCTCGGCCACTCTGGAAGCAGGAGGCCACGGGCACCCGGGAGGCTGTTTTAGCTGAACTCCAAACAATAAAAACTTATCATTAAAAAGAAATGCATCTTGGCTTCATGTGGCCTGGCAGCGCGAGGAGGAGTGATTCAGTGGCTTGTCAGCCCTGGGCGTTAGGCACGCCGAGCTGCACAACTGGACACTCTCCAAGTCCAGCAACTCATTTTCTGCAGATGGAGCCGGGACCGTGCAGAGGCCTGACGGTTAATTTGCAATCCAACATACCTTGACATAACCCGCAGCCGAATCGCGGAGGTGGTGCGGGGTGGGATGCTTGGGAGCCTCCTGGCAGGGCTGGCCCTGTGTGGGGTGTCCCTGCTGCACCCTGGCACAGGGGTGCCTGTGAGGGTGCAGGTGCTCAGCAGGTCCCAGTGCTCTTCCCAGTTTCCAGTCTGGGAGCAACGTGATGAGCGGGATAGAGAGTGCCTGCCTGGAGTAGAGGGTTGTGTTTCTCGAGCCATGGGTGAGCCCTGCCCGTGCTCTGGTGGGCCAGGGGATGGCAGGGACACTGGCCTGGCTCATCCCTGGCTCACACTGAGTGTGTCACCTCGTGTTACCCATCATGGAGTCTGGCTGTAGCTGCGGCACTGGGGACATGGGTATGGGCATCCACGGCCACATGAGCCCCATGGCCCCACAGCCCTGGATCCAGCTCCTTGGGCTGTGCCAGGTGGGATTGGTGATCAGGGTGCACCAAGGACTTGGGCATCGATGGGCATGAGCTCCCCTGGGGCCTGACAGGGGCTTGGCTGGGTGAGGAAGGGGTTCTGTCAGCAGCCCAGCCCTGATCTATAGACAGACAGAGGGGATGATTCATGTCTCAAGCTGCGGCCTGAGGGCAAAAACGGGAGAGAGGTTTGATGTGAGGATGCCGGGAGGCTGCGGGTCCTGCTGGGAGTTGCGGCTCCTGGCAGTGTTTCCCTTCCCAGAGCCAGCTCTGCCTACACTGCCCGGGGGTCCCGGCTTGGCCTGGGGGTAGAAAACGACTGAAGCAACATTGGATCAGATCCATGGACTAAACAGAGTCTTTTTTACAAATTTCAGACTCTGTCTTCTATGTTGTGGTCCAAGGCAGCAAGCAGAGTTGCAGTGGTGGTGCTGGGCAGGGGCTTGGCTTGGGTCAGGGAAGAGGACACTCCAGAGAGTGGGACACCCCAAGACGGGGCTCAGTGACACTTTACCCCCCTTGCTGAGTTCAGCCACACTTGGTCTGCATCCACAGAATGCCACAGGGCCAGAGCTGGTGCGAGGACCAATGTCCCATGGGTCCAGCCCAGTGAGGGGCTGTGCTGGGGCTGGGGGCAAGGCTGACATGGGGGGGGACACCGACCCCTCCCCGAGGAGCAGCGTGCGCTTTCCTTGGCAGGGTGCCCCCGGAGGCAGAGCCGTCGCTGCACACGCACGGCGTCAGACATCATCATCATATTAATAATGAAAGGGCAGCTCCTTCAAAGCTCTTCGTCCCCGCGCCGGCGAGAGCACAGAATGCAGAGGAGGCGCGTGAGCCTCATCCCAAAGCAGCCGAGGGGAGAGCGCTGCGATGCCCGGATGGTCCTTCGCTGGTCCTTCACCAGGCCGCTGACCCGGAGTGACAAAAACCTGCCAGGTTCCCGGTGGGTGCTGTCCCCGCTGGGAGTTTGGGTGCTGGGGGGTTCCTGGCTGGGAGAGGGGAAGCCCGTGGTGTCCCCAGCTCCTGTCCCTGTCACTGCTCTGTGCAGGCTCCCCCGTCTGGCAGGGAAAGGCCGTTTTGTCTGTCAGGGAAGGAGCATCTCTCCCAAGGGCTGAGCGCTCTGTCCATCACTGAGAAGCTCGGCAGGACATCGCTCGCTGTGCCGGGGCCCTTTTTTTTTTTTTTTTTTTTCCAAGGGGAGGAATCGATGGCTCAAACAATCAGACAAACCACCCGTACAGAGGTGTTGGGCTGCAGCCAACAGTGGGTCAGTGGCAGCAGCTCCTGGGGCATCTCATCCCCCTGCAAGACATTTGGGTTTCCAAGAAACATCCTTTAACACCCCCGTTTTGTCTAGAGCATCTCCAAGCCTGGTCGCTCGTTGTGAGGGTCTCAGCAGGACCAGACCAGGGGCTGAGCATCCCTTCTTCTCTCTCCCGTCTGCCAAACCCTCTCCTCCAGCTTTTGCCCTGCTTGTGAGGTGGAAGCCAGGAGGGTTTTGCTGTGGATGCCCTGATCTGGGGAGGAAAGAATCAAACCCCCTGTGCCAGGTGGAGGTGGAGCACCCCATGCCCACCCTGTATCCACCCCATGCCCATATGCTTTCCCTACCCCACATGTTTCAGAGGGTCCCACCCTGCAGTAGTGCCCCAGGGGGGTGGGGGGCTGCTGTGCTCACCTTCTGGCCCTTCTTGCCCAGCCCTTTGTCAGACTTTTATTTTCCTCCCTCCAAACACAACAAAACCCCCAAATCCCCTGCAAATGAGAAACCTCTTTCTGTTCCTCTTTTCCCTTTGCTTTCTGCCGTGGCAGAGTATTGATCGGAGCTGATGTGCTGTAATCCGCTGTTTCTGAGAAAAGTTGGCATCCCAGAGTCCCTGGAGGGGCCAGATCCTGCCCCAGCATGGGTCTTGGTCCTCTGCCAGGCACGGGGCTTTGAGGGAAGGCTGTGACTTCCCCCATCCCATCCCTGCAAAGCCAGGGGCTGTACGCTTGGTGGAGGGGACAGCATGAGCAGCTGATAGGAAGGAGAAGGCTCTGGTTTGGAGCAGAGCCAGGTCAGATCCTGCTAGGATGGATATCCAGAGTGCTGGGCATCTGAAGGAGCCCTCCTGCCCCTCTGGCAGGGCAGGGGATGGTGGCACAGGGGGACATTGGTGCTGATGAGAGGGGCTGGTTGAGGGGCTCAGCGGGGGCTCTCCAGAGAGGAGCAATTCTGCTTCCAGGCATCCAAGGAGGGCTGTGGGGAGTTGGAGCTGACCTTGGCCTGAGAGGGGCTCATTTTGGGGTGCATGGCTGCCTCTGCAGGGCAGGCCCCTGGCTAAAAACCACCCTGTGCCTCCCCTCCTCCCCACCCCTCCACTCCACTGTGCTGGTGTTCCATCTACACGTAATGGTGGCAACTGGATCAGAGCAATGGAAAGTGAGGGGAAAAAAAGCCCAGCCAAAAATCGCCAAAAACCACAGGGAAGATTTTAATTTAAAACCTTTTCCCACATGGAGAGCAGCAGCCTGGGCCATCTGGAGGAGCATATGCAGGTGAGGGGGGGCAGCAGTGCCTCTCCCAGCTCCATCGTTAGCAGCAGCCCCCGAAAGGGCTTTGGGCTGACAAAAGCTATCCCTGAGGGGGGGCAGGCACCCTGATCCCAGCCATCAGCCCGGGGGAGCCCCAGCTTTCCCTCCCAAGCTACCAAGACCTCTCTGTTTAATTGCTGTATTTGCTGGAAAAGTGATGATGAATCCCAAAGCAAACTGCAATAGCGGCCGAGTTTATTGCAAGAGATTAATTCAGCGGTTTAATTGAAACTGCGGGAGCAGGACGGGAAAGCATCGGTGTGAGGCTGAGAGGAGGGGGGTCAGGGTCAGCCCTGCTCAGCACCCACATCCACCCCTAACCCTGGCAATCAGTGACACCCAAATTAGCAGATTTAGTCCTCAGAGGACTCCTCCATTGGCTGAGCGTCACATCCAGCATCCTAAAGCCCCAAGTCTCCTAGCAACTCCCCGGCACTGCCTCTGCCCACCCATTAACCCCTTCCCAGGCTCCCCCCCGCACCATGTGGAACACCTGGTGCTTTGAAGGCGTCGCTGCCACGCTGGGTGTGAGCAGGGCTTTTATGCAGCAAATAAATCTGCAGGATGCTGGAAGGATGCTCGGGATGGGGGAACTGAGCTGGGCTGGTTAAGTCAAGACTCAGAATTTTTTATTCCAGGTGGCACAGAGAAATCCTCAGGTTTATACATGGACGTCGTGGTAGTTTGGAAGGTTATACCCTCCTGACTTGTGGAGGTGCTGGGAAAAGGTCAGAGAACCCCCAAATCATGGCCAGCTGGTGCAGCTCCCAGTGGCATCAGGAGAGGCAGAGCACGAGCCAGGCTCTTCCTCCCGGTTCAATTGTAAATCAATGACACCATGTCTTTGGGAATAGGATGGAAGGGAAATTTTCAAGGAAAATGGCCTTGAAAGTGTAAAATCACAGCAGGACACGGTGTGATGCCCAGGCCAGGGCTGGAGGGAGTGAGGCTGCTTTTTGGTTTGGATGTCCAATACTTCCCTGGGTTTGCCTTTAGAGATCAGAAGGATGGAAAAAAGGGTTAGAAAAAATAGTGAGTTTGCTGTTTGAAAAATAACAGTTGACATGAAAAAAAACCCCAAACAAGTTTGGTTGTGGTTTGTTGTTTTTTTAAACTGTCTTAATATTTATAGACTGGGAAATGTGTCCAAAGATCATGTGTCACTGAAAAGGATAAATCACTTATCTCACTTTAATGTGCTTTGTTGGGCTTTATCAGCAACATTGTCATAAAATCACCAAATTGAAATTTTTAAATGGGGGGAGAGAGGAGATATCTGGAGGGTTTGTTCTTGCTTCTGTTTCCTTATTGCCAAATAAAATACAATTAAAGCAACGTTTTCCATGCCAGCCAGCATAGCTAACACTGCTTCTCTGACGGCACTTTTTTTCTGTCAGCCAATGAAAATAAATGATGCAGGATTACCAGGGAACATCCAGGCTCCGTGGCTGGAGGGGGATGCGGAGCAGCAGGCATTCCAGTTTGAAACAGAGGGATTTCATCCCCGCGGTAAGTGGAAATCTCCAGGGATGTTACCCACAGAGCTCTCTGCTGCCGCCTGGAGCGATGCTTCGTCTTTCCTTCGCTCTCCCAGTTCCCACCAGAGCTTCCCAGTCTAACCCAGTCCTTGGCACAGCCCCAGTCTGGGGGTGCCAAGTTAACTCAGGACCCCCCTCGCAGCAGTTTTGGGGTGACTCCAGCCAGATCGTGGTGGGTCTGGTCCCCTGCAGGGCTCACTCCCGTGCCGGGGGCTACCGGCGGCTCAGCTGCTGACTGCACCGAAATCCCCGTGGTAATTGGATGAGGGCACTGGTTTCCATGAGAATATTAAATCACAGCCCCAGCCCCGATCCCGGGAGACACGCTTGGGAATATAAAGACACGGTAGCTCACGTTATAGAGGAGTTATTTCTCCTGCTTTAAAGTCAAAGGTACCACAGCAACTTCTTATCTGTCACAGAGTATACTGGAGCATCTCTGACTGATGGGAGCGAGAGGGAAGGGGGAGGCAGAGGGGCTGAGCACTCGCAGCTCGTCACAGCGATGGGCTTTCGGGGGGCTTTGGAAAAGCAGGCTCAAAAAGTGCTTAAGCATTTTCCAAGCCTGTTTTTCCAAGGCCACCTGAGAGCCCATCACCAGCACTTCCTGAGCTTGCTGTTCCAAAGCCCTTTGAGAAACCATCACTGTGATGAGTTGCAAGTGCTCATCCCCTCTCAGGGGAGAGCCTTGGGGTGGGGGGGTGACAGCAGCCACAAACCTTTGTGGCAGAGCTGATGCAGGTGTCCCAGAGCTGCAAAGGTCCCAGGGACTTTGTGAGCAGGAGCTCAGTGCCACCATCCTGAGCTCGCTCCAGTCGGGACTGGTACAGGGAGTCACTTCGGAAATGAGGGGCTCCAGCACCCTCCCAGTTATCGGTTTATCCGGGTCTCTGGTTGTGGTGACCATCTGGTGGCATCTGCTGCTGCTCAGCTGTCACCCGCCCTCCTGGTGAAGGGGATGCTCTGTGCACCTCGTGGATGGGGACAGGCAGGGGACATGTCAGGGGACCTGGCACAGGGTTAGGGGCAGCCATGGCAGGCACATCCCATGGCCCCTGCCACACTGGGGACAGATGGAGGGATGGATGGATGGATGGAACAATGGATGGATGGGCAGATGGACATCTCCCTACCCACAGCAGGGAGGCAGGAGAGGACAGACAGACAGATGTGTCTCCTTAGCCAATGGGGTGTCCTCAGGTGATGCTCACAAGCCCATTAAAGGGGTTTATCAAGGGGTCGGGGCTGGCAGGAGGCTGCTGGTTTTATCTGAGATGCTGCTTTTGGGCTGGGAGAGCCTAAGCTCCTGCTCATTAATTAGAAAGGCTTTGAGGAGGTTTGTACTGGTTGGCCTCACTCGTGAGCAGCCGTAATATGATGAGTGATTAGGGACTTTGAAGCTTTTTAGCGGGTGTCATTAAGCTGCTGATGAGCTCAGGCGGGGAAAGGGTCTTTTTGGCTGTGCCTGGAACTGGCTGGTCCTACTCTGACCCAGCCCTTGCTCCTGCTGTGGTCCCTGACCTCCTGAGCCTGATGAGATGGGTGAAGTGTGTGTTCTGGGGACAGCAATGGCTCATCTGTCACCCTGTGTCCTTGGGCTGGGTCAGATCTGGTGTCATTCAGCTCATCAGTGAGATGATGAGCTTGTGGTCATGCATGAGTGAAGCTGAGATGTTACTCTTTTCACTGTCTGCCAGGTATTGAGAGAATCTGGGGATGATTAGCTCTGAAAAGGTGACTTCTAAACCATTTGTGCATCAGGGGAGAGAATGGTGATGTGTATCCTGGCAATTGCTTTGGGACAGAGTTTGTTTCCCAGTTATGGGTTTTTCCTACTTGTCTGGGCACTGATGGTGAGCCCTTCTTGCTCAGGGGACACCCTCTCAGGTGGCACTGTCACTGTCCCATCCTCCTCGTGCTTCCTGATGCCCCCAAGGGCTGCGGCAAGGCAGGGACAAAATCTGCCGAATTTTCTCTGCCCTCCCTCATCTTCTCCTGTCTGCCTTGGCAAAACTTCCTGCAGCTCAGCAGCATCCTGCCCCGCCGCGGTCTGGTTGGCATCACTAGCGCTGTATTTACAGCAGTGTTAATTAAATACTTTCTGCAATCAGCGCCACACATGACCCCGCTCCCCGAGCCGGGCTGGGCTGTAATGTGCCATCATCGAGCGAGAACATGACTGCTGCCATCCCAGGGAATTTCTAATAGAGATTTACTCATCCCAGGCCTCTCATTTCTCCATTTTGTGACATTTTGCAAAGTTCAGGTTTACAAAATAAGCCGGTGCACACGAGAGAAGCTCCAGCCGTTATTTACACTGCACGTGCCGTTCCCCCTCAATGGGGTCTTTTGCCCCACGGTGAGCTGAGTTGGGGGGTGGGCTGGCAGCTGCCCTGTCCTCCCCTCTGCCCAAGGGGCTGCTACTTTTGACAAGGAGCACCCCATCACCCCAGATGTCCCTCCCTGCAGAGCTCTGTGTGCTGGAAGAGTGGCAGAGCGTTGTGGCTGTGCCCTTTGAAATGCTCCTGGCGTCGTGCAGCTGAACCTGCCTCCAGCCCCCATTCCAGTCCCAGGGTAAAGGATGGGATGGGAGAGGGAACTGGTCACAGTCTAGGGGCAGGCCAGGTAGGGCTGCTGCAGTTTTGGGTTGTGATTTGGGATGCTGAGCCACTCTGCTTTTAAAAATAAGCTTGTGCTGAAAGCTGGAGGGGAGTGCGGGTGCGGAGGCAGCAGCTGCCAGCAGAATCCTGTTAGCGTGCCACAGCCTCCCAGGTCTCAGCTATGGGCAGAAAAGCCCTTTTTGGCAAATCACCTGTGGCAGGAGCTGCCCACTCTGTGGGAGAGAGGCAGCCTGTGGGCTGAAAGCCAGGGATGGGGAGAAGGTGTCTGTCCCAGAGCCTTGTCCCTCCACGGCACAAAGTGGTGGTCAGTGCCTTTCTGACCTGCTCCTGTTTAACCTGTGCCGAGCTCCTGTGGGTGCTGGGACCTGGGGAAAACCACTGAGTGACCAAATTTTCTTCTCCTCCTCTTCCTCAGGAAGGCACTGGCCATTTTGTCTTCACCAGTGCTACAGCAAGGTCAGCCCCTCCCTTCTGGAGAAGGTTCTGCTGGAAACCAGGGTGTGCCCATCTCAGAGTATCACTCTGTATCCAAGTGGAGTCAAGGGCACCAAGCCGGGTCCCACCCAGCTCCATGGGGTGGATTGGGGCAGGTAAGTGGGTGGTGGCACCCAGTCCTGTGCACTCTGTCAAAACCTGGCCGTGCTGCCAGCCTGGAGCTGGGCCTTGGGAGATGGGGGGCTGTGGGCTCCGGCACACCTCGCTCCTGCCCCATGCCTGCCTTGTCAGGTCTGATCACGAGAAGGATCAGCCGGCCCCGCTCCTCGCTCTCCAGATTTAATTAGCCTTTCATCTCTACCCTGAAGGAATCTGCTATCTTCTGTCTTCTTAATTAACGTTCATTAAGCAAATCAGAAGAACATTTTCTCCTCTCCGCCTCCACGGCTTTTAACCCTTGCAGGGTTCCAGGTTCCCCCCTCCCAGGCTCCTGGGAAGGTTGGTGTGTTGTCACAGCCTTGGTCACCACATCTCTGCCACGCGTGGACCAAAGTGCTGGGGCAGTGGGTGAAGTCTCTCCAGGTACAGAGAACTTCAGGTGAGTTTGGGCTTTGCTATACCAGTTGGGCTGGGGGCAAACCCCTGCTCTGATCACTCTTAGGACACTCTTGTTCGAGATCATCCATATTCCCAGCAGACAAGGGGGTTCCATATCCAGCTTTAGCTCTTCATCATTTCCAGGGGTGAAGTTCACCTATGGCAAGGTGATGCATCTGTGCTTGAAGGTTTTGCTGTGAGAAGCCACCATCCAAAAGTGGTAGGAATCACAGTGCAAGGAAGGTGTGTTCTGTGGGGGCTACTCCTGCCATTCTCTCATAGAGTAACATTAGATGTGAAGGGGAACCTCCTTCTGCAGGCAAGAGGCACCCTTGTGCCCAGCACCTGGCAAGATGAGGGGCTCATTCAGCCTGGGGTGCAGCTGAACCAGTCTGAGGATGTGCAGGTCCCACTCCAGCTGCAGCATTCCCACTGCTGAGCACAGTGGTGTCACCACCGATTGCCATCAAACCCTGGCCCTGTGGGCCATCCCCCCATGCTGAGTGGGCTGTGCTGGAGGAGGAGGTGAGGTTGGGATGCTCATCAGCTTTGCCTGAATCCTCTGTACATCCCTAGGGCACAGACTGAGCCCCCACTACATGGTCTCATCACTCTCTAATGTGGATCCCTGTGCAAGAGGGGATGAGCTGGGCAGGGAAAGCATCTCCTCTGTGTGTGTCGCCTCCAAGGAGGAGGAAGCAAACCCATGACACAAGAGAGCATCTCCTGCCCGAAGCTTGCTGCCTCAGCAGCAAGTGGAAAGCAAAACATCTGGAAAACCTCATCCCTGTAGGACTCAAATCTGCTTAAAACTGGTGGCAGAGATGTGCGGGGCAACTCTCGAGCTGAAAACCCTTCTGCTTCTCCCCGGAGGTTGACAGTGGGTTTGCCACTGGCCTCCCGTTCCCAGGCAGCTGCTGCACAGCTCCTCGGTGCTGGGAAATTCACCCTTCCCAGCGGAGCTGGCTCTGGCTGTCAGAGCCTGGGTCAATATATGATAATGGGGCTTTGAAACGGCGCTGCTGAGGGAGCCGCTGCCCAGGACTCTGATTCACAGCTCCCCTCCGGTGCTTTCTCCCGCAGTGTGTACGGGGAAGGAGAATAAAATAAATAAGAGTGGAAGGGAAGGGGAAGAAGGGAGCTTAAATTATAAATGAGAGCTAAGTTTCCAAGGCCCCTGTGGGCGGCTCAGTGAAGCAGCGTGGGAGTCAGAGGCAGCGTTCCCCCTGTGCACCCCACTTTTGCAAACACACCTCCTGTGGAGTGGAGTGTGGGTCAGGGTCTGCCCAGGGGCATGGCACCGTGCCAGTCTGCCTCTCCCCCTATTTGCTGTCGCCCTCTTGTCCCCTTGGGTCAAATCTGGAGGGTGCAGAGGGATCCCTTTGGCACAGACTATAATTAGGATTAGCTGAGAGCTGTTAATGAGGTCTGGTGATGATGGGGTTTTGCTACCCCATGGAGATGCCTCCACAGGGATGTGCCCTCACCTTGGTCAAGGGGACTGGGCTGGCCCATGGCAGCAGGCAGAAATGGGACCTTCACTTGTGGGTGGTGGTGTGGAGGCATTGGAGGGGGTGTCACAGACCCACAGCCCAGCCAGGTTGGTGTGAGTGGGGTAGCATTGGCATCCCATAAATCAGTGTCAGGGGAGAAGAGGGTGCTGGGTCTGCTCCAAAGCCTTTCCCTCACCTCTTTTTGATTCTGGGGCTGCAAGAAACGTGGTGACCACCACCAAATAAAGAAAGAAAAGCCACATGTGAGGCATGTACCACCACAGCTCATTCCTGGGGCTGAGAAACGGAGGAGCTCTGCTACATCCGTGCAGCTGGAGGTGCAAATCCCCCCTCCCCAAAGCAACGGGGCCAGGATGTATCCCACTGGAGGGTCCTATCCTGCCCATCCCCACAGTCTGGGGACCAGGATGGCCTGCGGGGATACCAAACCCCACAGCTCTGGCTCGCACGCGAATATTTCGACATTCCCAGCAGCTTCCACAAGATGGACCTCGGAGCGAGAGGAGGTGCCGGGTAGGGGGACCCGTCCCATCCCACCCTGTCCCGTCCCGTCCCATCCCATCCCGTCCTGTCTGCTCCCGCCTTGCCATCGGGAGGAGGTTCAGAGTCCAGCCAGGCGAGCCCCGGCATGGCACGGCCTCCCGGGCTCTGCCTGCTGGCCCTGCTGGCGCTGGGGCTGGGGCTGGGGGCGGGGGGCTCGTCCGCCTGCTGGGACCCCCGGGGGCAGCCCCGCCGCTGCATGCCCGACTTCGAGAACGCTGCCTTCGGCCGGGCCGTCCGGGCCACCAACACGTGCGGGTCGCCCCCGGAGGACTATTGCCTGCAGATGGGCACCCGCCACGACAGCGCCCTGTGCCACCGCTGCGACGCCGCCGACCCCCGGCTCCACCACAACGCCTCCTTCCTCACCGACTTCCACAGCCAGGAGGAGAGCACCTGGTGGCAGAGCCAGTCCATGGCCTTCGGCATCCAGCACCCCAACTCCGTCAACATCACCCTGCACCTCGGTGAGTGCCAGCAGTGCTGTTGGTGAGGGGCACCGGCTGTGGGGGCACCGAGATCTGGGTGCAGAGATGTGGGGGGGAAGGGTGGATGCTCCTGCGTCCGGTAGCTCTTGGTGCCCGTGCTGAGTTAAGGACAGGACCCTCCCCAGGTCTTTTAGGGGGTGCAAGGAGGGAGGTGCCCTCTGCAAAGCACTGAAAGGACTCAGGGAGGGTCTGCCCTGTCCATTAGCCCTGGTCCTTCACAGGGGGAGGATGCCAGCGGCTGCGCCTGCCTGTGCTGCTTCCCAGTCTCCCAAGCCCAGGGTGCCTGCCCTCCTTTTCACCCCAGGCTGCTTTTTACTGGTTATGGAGGTCTGTGGAGCAGGAGACAGGTGGTTCCCAACCCTGGGAGAGCTCTGCCCAGGACGAGTGAGAACCGTGGGGGCCAAGCCCCTGCCATTTCACCCCCTGCATTGCTGAGGGTGCCGAGTATGTCTCAGGGTGCAGAGCTCTGCACATATCGTTCAGTCCCAGTAGGTTTCCCCAGCTGGGATCCGCCCCTCTGTGTTTTAAATACTGTGCAAGCCGCCTGCTTGGAGGGTACTTAAAACCCACGGGGCATGCCTGGCATTTTAAAAAGGTTTTATAACATTTTCCTACCATCTAAACTATCCTGGCTGTTGGCCAGCACTGTAAAATCTTCATTCTCTGCAGTCTCCTGCCATCTGCATGCCGAAGGGGGGTAGTGGAGAGGCTGCGGCTGGAGCTGGTAAGGGGACAGCCGGGCGTGGTAAGGGGACAGCTGAGTGTGTTGGTGTGGCCCAGAGCCGTGCTGGTGGCACCCAGGCTGGCTGGGGGTGCGGTGGCGGTGGAGGGTCCGTGCCTGCCCCAGCAGGGCGGAGGTCGCCGCTTTCCCAGCCCCCTGCGAGCGGGAGGACATCTGGTCCTGTCCCTGGGCCGGGGCTGGGCTCCCTGCTGGGCATGGGAAGCGATGCCGGAGGAGCCTGCCATCCCTGCTCCCGCTCCTGCCAGCCCTGCCCGAGGGGATCTGCCAGCCTCCTGTCCACTGTCAGATTGCCCCAAATCTATCCCTGCGTGTCCTGGGGCACAGACCACCCCAGTGCGGCCTGTGTGGCCAGGAGAGTTTGTGGCCACCAGTCCCAGCTCGGCACAGCGACATGTGCGGGCTCCACAGGCTCTGGGGCTTGCTTCCCACTCTCTGCCTTTCTTCCAGCCCTTCCCTGGCTCCTCTGTGGTCCCTGTTGGACCCTTCACTTGAGTTTCCTGTGAAGTCCAGTCCCTGTGCCCACCCTGCTGTGTCTGTGTTAACACAGCCAAGGCTATAGAATTGTACCAAGCTCATCTTCCAGCCTAGTCCCTGTGGCCCTTCCTGAGCCAGAGCATCCTCTGCAAATGTCCCCTTGTCCTGCATGGCTCCTATATCTTGCTGTGCTAAAAAGTGCCCTTTTGGTGCTTGGCACGTCACTGTCTGACTTTCCCAGAGCTGCTGGGCCCTGTTCCTGTCCCAGCTGCAGACCTTTTTATTGGTGCCTTAATGCTTTCGCTTGGGTTAAGGGGGAAAAGTCCAACTGGCCCTTGCAGCCTCCAAGGATGAGTCCTTGCTCGTGAGCTCCACCGAGTAATGGGGTGTTTTAACCCCTGTAACGTGTCCCCCCAGCCTGTTTGTCTTGCTCAGACACATGCCGTGTAGGTTCTCCAGAGTGGTTACCTGGGGAGCTTATTAAATAAGATGTGGAATGAGTTGGACAAGACCTGTGTTTACCTGTGTGCTGTTGACTGGCGTTAATTAGGTTATCCTCCTTTAAACCTCTCTTCCCTGGGAGATTTCAGCCGTGCCATTACAGTGCCCCAGACTCGGAGCAGGTCGATCATCCCAAGTGTCCATGGCTCCTGCATTTGCCCTGTCAGACGTCAGGGAGGAACCCAAAATATCCATGGCTTGTGAAGGCAACAGGCACCAGGGCTCCTCAGGAAGCTCCCTGAATGCCAGTGGCTCATTTTGGAGTGTCTAGATTGGGCAGCATCCGTGTCTGTGACTTTGCCTCTGATTTTTCCTGTGGGACGGGAGCCCAGCGCTGAGGTTTTGTGGGGCTGGAGGTGGCTGGGGACGTGTAAGTGATGTGACTGTCCCACAGGCTGCTCTCCAAAATCCTCATGGAGGCCCCAGTGCCATATGAGCTGCAGTTCAGGCTCTGCGGGAGGCAGGTGAACACTTTGTTCAGGTTTTTCTAAGTAGAAATCGGCTGATTGGAAAACCTGCCTAGAATACCTTGTCTAGAATAAGCACACGCTCCCTCGGGATGATTCCACAGGGAAGCAAGTCTCCTCCATCCCGGCTGGAGGCACCGAAATGGGGCTCCCCCAGCCTGGCCACCCCCTCCCCTCGCACGGGGCCGCTTGGGGCAGAGGCTGTTTATTGACACAGCACTGAGCTCCCTTCCTCTCCCAGAGGAAACTGCTCTGGGAGGTGATGGCCCTGACCTCGCTGTTTTGGTAGACAACCCCCCTGGGACCCTGCTGTCTGGGAACCGGCGCCTGCCAGGCATCCCCCCCTGCTCAGGGTGCAGGGCAAGGGCCCAGAGGGGTCCCAGAGGGAAGGGAGAGGCCCAGGGGAGCGTGGTGATGGGGGGACAGCCTGGCTGCAGACCCTCCTTGGCCCCCGTCACCTCCGGGTGGGCTGGAAGCAGGTCTGTCCCCAGCTCCAGGCACTCAGCCGGGCGCTCCCCGCATCCCTGATGGGATGCAGCTGCTTTTCCCAGCGCTGGTAGCCGGCTGCCTCGGCTCCCCCGCAGCAGTCGCAGCGCATACGCGACAGTATTCATATGGGCCCAATTAAAGGCTTGTTTTCCTAGTCCCGGAATAACCCCTATAACATTCCCAACTCATTATCTTTTCAAATAAAGCCAAAACCTTGCAGCTAATTGTTTTGTGCTGTCAGGAGTGGTGTTGTTATGGAGCAATCCAGGCTTTGAGCTGGTCCTTCATCTCTGGCAATTAACAGAGTCTGATGTTCACTTTGGTGTTTTCTCTTCTCCTTTCTGCTAATTCTTTCAAGTGCTTTCAGAGCTTGCTGGCTGCCCCAGGGATTGGTGGCCTCTCTTTGTCTTCATCCCAGCAAACACGGCAGCGAGGCCGGGTCCTGGCACGCAACTCCCTGCGAATCCCTGGGAAAGGGATTGTCCTTGACCCTTTCCAATTCTCCATCCCCGTGGCACCACTGCCCTGGGGATACTCTCAGTGTTGTGGCCTGCAGTGACTCCTTGGCCACGCAACCCACCCAGTTCACCCATGCAAGGGGTGGGCTCTGCATTGGGGTGAGAGCCAGTTTGGAGCTGGATGGAGCTGCACTATGGAGGAGCTGCTTAAAGGCAGCTGGATGGTGATCTCTTCTCTTCTGGCTGTGGTGTGGAGAGGGGGACAACGTGGCAGGAGCAGCAGGATGGCAGCAGCTTTGCAGGACGGGGCACTGGGATAATTTAGGCTGGTGGTGCCCATCGGGAGGCCGGGAGAGGGTCACAGGCAGGGTGGGTCTGTCCGCAGGCAAAGCCTACGAGATCACCTACGTGCGGCTCAAGTTTCACACCAGCCGCCCCGAGAGCTTCGCCATCTACAAGCGCAGCCACGCTGAGGGGCCCTGGGTGCCCTTCCAGTACTACAGCGCATCCTGCGAGAAGACCTACGGGAAGCGGCCGCGGCAGTACCTGAGGCCGGGGGAGGACGAGCAGGTGGCCTTCTGCACCGACGAGTTCAGCGACATCTCCCCGCTGAGCGGGGGCAACGTGGCCTTCTCCACGCTCGAGGGACGGCCCAGTGCCTACAACTTCGACGGGAGCCCCGCGCTGCAGGTGCTGCCAGGGTGGGAGGTGGGGGGTGTCTGGATCCCCCTGGGGACTGAGAGCACTATTGCACCCATGTGGGGTAAAAGCACTGGTGATGCCCAGCATCCCTCCCTGTGTGGAAAGGTGCAGGATGAGTCCCGGTTGGGGTGGGAGCTGGTGGCCCCAACCCCTCGACAAGGTGCATTTCCCGTGTCCCCTGCAGGAGTGGGTGACAGTCACTGACCTGCTTATCTCCTTGAACCGGCTCAACACGTTTGGGGATGACATCTTCAAGGACCCCAAGGTGCTGCAGTCATACTACTACGCTATCTCTGACTTCTCCGTTGGTGGCAGGTGAGGGGTAGCCAGTTTGGGGTGAGGGCAGGAGTTATGGGGACCTTCCTGGGGCTGTGGGGCTGGGGCAGCTGTTCCACACCAGTCTTATTTGAACTGTGGTTTCGGGAAAACAGACCAGATGTGGCTTCCTCCATGTGTAAACCAGAGCTGGAAATTCAGATGTGGATAATTAAACCTGGAGCCTCCCCAGTCATACAGAAAGGTGGTCTTTTCCCCACAAGCTCCTCTTCATGTTCCACTGGCTTTATGTTGGCACCCACTCAGTGCTGCCCGTGGGCTGTGCTGCATGTGTCCTTCCCCAGCTGGGAGGAGTGGGAAATTTCTCCATCCTGGAAGGAGCTGTCTGCCCTGTCTGCCCTTGGGGTCAGCAGATGGAGCTGGTTAGCACAGGTCACCCTCAGCGTGTGACCTTCTGACTGACCAGACTTGGGAGCACCTCAGGGACACCACGGGCGACCTCAGCACCAGCGCAGCCTCGAGCTGCTTTCACCCCACGGTCGGCCTGGCAGGGTCACACACAGCCTGGGCACTGTCCCACTGCCCACACCGGAGCTCAGAGTGGCTCCCCCGTGCTGGGGTTTCACCACAGGTGCAAATGCAATGGCCATGCCAGCGAGTGCGCGCCGGACGAGGCCGGGCAGCTGGTCTGTGTGTGCCAGCACCACACGGCCGGCGTGGACTGCGAGCGCTGCCAGCCTTTCCACCAGGACCGGCCCTGGGCACGCGGCACAGCCGAGGCTGCCAACGAGTGTCTCCGTGAGTATCGCTCGGGCTGTCCCTGTGATCAAGGTATGTGGCCACACTGGTGCTGCGTTGGCTCATCCAGTGGCTCCTCTCCTGCCCTTTGTGCACAGGAAGAGAGCACCTGCTTTGTAAGGGAGGGAAGGGGGGAGGGTTTGCACCCCAGGGCTTCCCTTCACAGCATCACCCTGCAGATTCCCCATTCCCTCACCCCGTGAGCGCAGCCATCTGCTCTGTGCATGGTGCTGCGCCCGCCTCTGCTTCCAGTGGCAGAAGCACCGCTGAAAGCTCCCACTGCTGAGCCAAGCGGGCCCTTCTGGCTCATCCCACCCCACAGGAGGTTGCTGTAACCCCTAGGTGAGCCCTGTGCCCCGCAGGTGCTCACCCCCTCTCCTGCCTTCCCCCCCCAGCTTGCAACTGCAGCGGCCGCTCCGAGGAGTGTTTCTACGACCGGGAGCTGTACTGGCGCAGTGGGCACGGCGGGCACTGCCGCAACTGCCGCGACAACACGGCCGGGCCCCACTGCGAGCGCTGCCGCCAGAACCACTACCGCTGGGAGCCACAGGCAGCCTGCCAGCCCTGCCACTGCCACCCTGCAGGTGCGTGGGGCTGTGCCCAGCTGGGCTCTGGCTGCACAGCCACTGTCCCGGCTGGAGTTGGCAGGGAGGGAGAGTTTTGGTGGGTTCTCCATTGCTTGGGGTTTCCACATTTGCCCCCACCCTGTGTCTCTGTTGAGTCCATCCTGTTGAGCCTCAGGGCTGGCCGGGGTCCCCACAGGCTCCCTGCAGCCCCAGTGTGACAACTCGGGGACCTGCCTCTGCAAAGCCAACGTGACGGGCTGGAAGTGTGAGCGCTGCAAGGACGGCTACCACAGCCTCAGTGAAGGTGGCTGCAGGTGAGGAGGAGCCTGACTCCAGGCAGGAGCAGCGGGATGGAAGCAGATCTCACCTCATGCCTTCATCTCACTCCATGCAGACCCTGCATCTGCGACCCGGCGGGCAGCGTTGGCACCTGCGACCCCAACACAGGGCACTGCACTTGCAAGGAGAGGGTGGAGGGGCACCTGTGCAACAGGTAAGTACCACAGCCCTGGGATGGGGATGGGACCATTGTCTCTTTCCAGTCTGGGATCAGTGACAGGACTTGGTGGCAAGACTGTGGGGCTGCATCCCTCTGGATCACTGGGACTGGGCACACAAGAAGCTGCCACCAGTGTCCCACCCTGGGTTCCCTGCAGCTCTGCCTACCCTGTGCCACGTGCTCCCATTTCCTCCCTGTGCCCAGGTGCCAGCCAGGCTGGTTTAATCTGCAGCCCCACAACCCCGTTGGTTGCACCAGCTGTTTCTGCTACGGCCACTCCACCGCCTGCACGGCAGCCGATGGCTACGAGGAGAGCCACATCCGCTCCGACTTCAGCCACGGTACTGACCACTAAGCCCTGGGTGAAACAGCAGGCACAGCTGTGCCACCTCCACCCAAAAAAGCTTGGGAAGGGTAGGGCTGAGCATCCCTCTTGGGGGCTGAGCATTCCCCTTTGGGGCTAACTAGTGGTGATGGCCAGGGGGGATCTTCTCTGGCTTGCCCCTATTTTACCGTTAAGCCTCTGCTTTTGCCCCCTCGTGGTATACCTCCATGCCAACCTGCTCCGGGGGCTGTGCATGGCTCAGGGAGGGCTGTGGGGCCAGGCATGTCTTCCCCAGAACACCAGTGACTGCAGGAGCATTAAAAATCAGCTCAGAAAGTTAAAATCTAGAAGGATGGAGCCTGCTGTGAACTTTCCCTGTTATTCCCTCCTCTCTCCACCCTCAGCTGCTGTGTGGCAGGGTGGCCGGGAGAGCAGGATGGGGTGCTCTTTGCTTGGCTGCAGCCAGGGCTGCGGTGGCAGGGCTGGATGTGTGCGGGATGCTCGGGGAAACCCTGCCATCTGCCGCGCATCCCGGCGTGTGCAGCCCTGCTGCAGGGACACCGCAGCCCTCGCCGCAAGTCCCCGCTCACCAGGACTCCCCCCTGCACCCTGCAGGGACGGGCACTCACCGCAGGCACCCCCCGTCTGCCTCGCCTGCCCCCTGACGAGCAGATGGATACGAACCCGCCAGGCACGGGTTGATCCTGATTGCAATTAAGCTGCGCTGCCAATTGCTGTACTGCTGGAATGTCTTCCACGGCCTTGAAACAGAGCCAGGCTTTAAACCGAGTCTTTTTTTCCACCCTTCACACAGCCAATTTGGGGTTTCTCCTTTTGGGGCTGGTTTAGCGAAGCCCTGGGCTGAGATGCAGACAAGACATCCTCCTAAACCCCCACTCCCAAAGTGCTCCCCAATCTACAGTGGAGCTGGATCAGATGGAATTTTCCTGTCCTGAGTGAAAGAGTCCAAACTGGGGATGGTTTGATAGCTGAGCACAGCCCACTTGAGAGCTGAGAAGGGATTTCCAACTGTTTGTCCTGCAGGGCTGGGAGAAATAACCCTAGGGAATGGAGGAGAGTTTAACTGGCTTCTGAAGAAAACCAACTTAATGCAATTATGCCCCATCTCTCCCTGGGCTTGTACAGTGTCTCTCCCCAGGCTTCCTGCACTCTCCAGCCCACAGTAATGTTAGCAATGCAGCACAGGCAGGGAGGCAAAAGTTTAAAGATAATAATTTCCTCCAAATCTAAAAAAAATAAACAGATAGGGGGTGGCTAGGGCCACCCTCTAGTGCATGAGAGCACAGAGCCCGAGCGGAACAGGGTGTTGCAAAGACCCTGGAGAGCCTGGGGAGAAGGGACAGAGCCCCTGGAAGCAGCACTCCAATGGTGCTCCCTTTGCTGAATGTTGCCACTGTGTGCTGTCACACAGGGCTGGAGGGCTGGGCTGCCACAGCTCCAGGCACCACAGACCTGCCTCTGCGCTGGGCTGGCGGGGAGATCGTCACGGAGTGGGATGGAGAGGAGCCGGTGGATTTTCTTGCACCAGGTACTGTAGTGTGCTGGGTCCCTGGGGTGCTGCTCTGCTATGGGGATCCCCTGGTGCTCTCATGGGGTGTCCCACTGCTTTGCTGGTGTGTGAGGCACTGGGCTCTATCCCAGAGCTGAGCGTGTTTCAATAGTACAAGGTGGTGGGGAAGTTTGGAACAGTGGATCTGCCTGGGAGCGCAGGTTGGAGCTGGCACTGCTCTAGGAGGGTGACTCTGGCTCCTGATGATGCTGCTGGGAATGGGACTTTCACCAGCAGAGCTGACTCCTCCATGTCCTACAGATTTTTCTCCTCTCTTCCCTTGTAGAGAAGTTTCTGCAGAACCAGCGCCTCAGTTATGGGCAGCTCCTGTCCCTGCTGTTGGGAGTGGAGAACAGGACAGGGACAGAGCCCGGGATGCCCCTGCTCCAAGTCCAGCTGGTTCTGGAGGGTGAGGGGATGGAGATCACCCTGCCCAGCAGCAAGAGCCTGCCCCAGCATGGAAAGCAAGCTGTCACCTTCAGGTACCTGTCACAGTGCTTTGGGGAACCTCAGTGGGGTTTAGGGCAGTGTGTCTGATCTTGTCTGGGCTGCCCTTTGCTATGGGGTTCAGCCCCACTCTCTGCCCCCGTTGGGGATTTAACTGTGCCCTCATTGCTGTGCCTGGGTCCCAGCCAAGGAGCCAAGATATCCTGCAGCACGTGGCTCTCAGACTGGCCCTGTCCTTGCTCCCATGCTCCTTCTCCAACAGGCTGCACGAGGCAGAGGAGGGTGCAGAGCCTTTGCTGTCAGCCTTCAGCTTCCAGCGCCTGCTCTCCAACCTGACCGCCCTCCGGCTCCGTGTGAGCCGCGGCCCCGTGCGAGGTGGGTGGTCTGCACACAACATTCCCACAGGGACCAAGCTGGGATGGGCCAGGGACACTGAAACAGCGTCATGAACTAGAGGCACTGCAGGGGGTGTGTTGGAGCAGGGGCTGGCTCCTCACTGTGAACACCCCTGAGCTCTCCAGAAGGTGTTTTCGTGTCTCCTGTGCCTGTCTGGAGCATTTCCAGGCAGGAATTCGAGAGCTGAGCGTGGAATGTGCCATCCCATTCTCAGGCCGCTCTCCCCTCCCGCAGGCAGGCTGTCCCTGAGCGAGGTCCAGCTCACATCTGCCAGCCCTGGGCTGGGGACACGGGCGGGCTGGGTGGAGGAGTGCACGTGTCCCACGGGCTATGCCGGCCAGTTCTGCCAGTCCTGCGCGCCCGGATTCAAGCGGGAGATCCCCTTCGGCGGCCCCTTCGTCAGCTGCGTGCCCTGCGCCTGCAACCAGCACGGGGACTGTCACCCCCTCACAGGTGTGCACCCCCCCAGCCCCTCCACTCAGCCCAGGCATGAGTGACAAATCTGTGTCTTTGCTTGTTCTGAAACCATTGGTGAGGTCACTGTACCCAAAATTTGCAGGTTGAGTTGCTTGTAGGGACTGGACTTGTAGCTGCAAAGACAGAGATAATTAATGAAGTGCAATAATGGTGGTAACTTATAATTAGAGGGACATTTTTCACGGTACTGTATGACCTTTAAGGAGGAGAAGGAAAGGGTGCTGGTCCTCAGAGGAGTGTGGGAGCAGGGGTCAAGGCAGCAGAGAGGCAGAGGGTTTTGCCAGGCTGGGTCTCGCAGGCAGCATCGCTGCCTGATGAGTGGAGCAGCAGCCCTGGACTCTGCAAACTGAGGGTGGATCTGAGCAGAGAAACAAGGAAAAGAGCAGAAAAACACATCAGTGCCAGGCTTGTGGGAAGGCATGGGAGGAGCTGGCCCTTGTGCTGCCAGCCCAAGCCCTGTTCTGCCTCCAGGTCCAACTCAGACGTGTGTGACTGCAGCAGGGACTGTGGATGAAGGGAGGAAAAGGCCAAAGCAAAGTCTTTGGGGCAGCATGGCTGTGTCTGGGATGGTTCACAGGGTGCTGTCACTCACCTCTGCTGCCAGACAAAGTGTCTGGCTGGCTTTGGATGGGGAAGGGGGGGCAGGACTGCAAACAGCTGCCATGGAGCTTGAGGTGGCTATGTGAATCCAACACCAGCCTTGCTGCTGTCAGCCTCAGTGAAATGCAGACCAGAGCCCTCTGGGGCTCATGAGATGCTGCTGTGGACCCCATCCCCTGCAGACAACAGCAGCTCCGACAAGTGCTGGGAAGAGCTTGGAAATACAATGATGCATTTGTTACCCAGAGATCCTGGATAGAGGGGAGCCCCTGGGGGTGGTGGCAGCTCTGCAAACTCGCCCTCATCTCACAGAGCTGGGGCTGGCGCCGCTGCACAATCCCCAGGGATGGGGCCAGGCTTTTGATGTCCCGGCCCGGGCTCTGCCAGCCCGCGCACTTCCTTTAGTTTATTTTTCCACTTCTTCCTGCCACCCGCTTGTCCTTTCTTTTCCTTTGTCTGACTGCCTGGAGGTGGGGAAAATGGAAAAAAACCACCAGTTCCCTCCTGCGCAGCATTCGTGGTATGACCTGACCCCACAAATCGTGGGGGAAAATCTTCCCCCTGGCTCCTCCTCTCCCCAGTGAAGCAGAGCATCTGCCTGGAGGTGGGGGGTTCCTTGAGCACCCTTCCTCGTCTTCCTCCTTCTTCTCCTCCTCACAGCCGATTTCGGAATGCTGACTCACCAGCTCGGCTCGCTCTGGAGGAGATGCTCCCCAGTGGGTGCCGGGCTGGCTGCTTGAGTTTTCCATGACAGGCTGGAAAGGACGCTGAGAAATGTGTTGTTGATTATGGCAGGCGCCGTCAGCCTCCACACACACACACTGAAGGTGCTGCCTGTGCCAGCTCTGCCTTGTCCCCGCGCAGCTGTGTGCCCCCTGTCCTCTCCAAAACCTTCTCCCTTGAGCAAGGACAAGGAAGGGAGGGGAAATGTTCCGAGTACTGGCTCTAGATGTGCGACCCCAGCGCAATCCTTTGGCTGGAGCTGGGCATCCCTCTTGGCACCCGGTGTGCCAAGCTCAGCGCTGGGCTCTCCATCCCTCCCACGGTCCCCGCTGTTATTTGGGGCTGGGTTTTTGCAGACCCTCAGCTCTGTTTCTCTCCCCACAGGGCACTGCCGGTGCTTGCACAACACAGAGGGTCCCTCCTGCGAGCGCTGCAGCGCCGGGTTCTATGGCAACCCCTTCGTAGGGCGCTTTGATGACTGCAAGCCGTGCCCCTGCCCCGGAGGTTCACCCTGCACCGAGGTGCCCAGCAGTGGGGAGGTGGTCTGCACCCACTGCCCCCCGGGGCAGAGAGGTGAGGCTGGGGGTGGGTGGGCACAGGAGCTGTGGGCAGCACCGACACGGCCAAACCCTCCCCATCTTTTCACCTTCCTCAGGGAAACGCTGTGAGCTCTGTGATGACGGGTTTTTCGGGGACCCCCTGGGGCAGAGGGGCCCTGTGCATCCCTGTGAACCCTGCCAGTGTCATGGGAACGTGGATCTCAATGCCGTGGGGAACTGTGACCCTGTGTCTGGCCGATGCCTGCGCTGTGTGTACAACACGATGGGCGAGCACTGCGAGAGGTGCCGGCCGGGCTTCTACGGGGACGCGCTGGCTCCCAGCCCTGCTGGGAAGTGTGCACGTACGTACAGTCCTGGGGACAGCTCACTCGCAGCCAAAATCCTCCCAGCAGTGGAGGCAGAGGGTGGAAGGGGGATGCCCTGGGAGTTTAGGGGGTGATGGAATGGTCCAGGTTAGCCCCAAATGCTCTGGAATGGCATTTGCCCACTTTCTCCACTGCATCCTTCCCTGGAGATACTCTGGTCTGCAGGGACTCAGCCCCTCGAAGCCCTGTTTGATGGGGGGATATGACTCTCCACATTGGGTGGGGGGACTTGGCCCTGGTGTCCCATTCCCACAGTCCCATTCACCAGCTCCGTGCCAGCATGTAGGTGCTATTTTGTCTCCCACAGCTTGTGACTGCAAACCCAGCGGCTCAGACCCAGGGCTGGAGGGCTGTGATCCCATCACGGGCCAGTGCCACTGCCTCCCACACGTAACAGGCAGAGCCTGTGGGCACTGCCAACCTGGCTACTACGGCCTGGAGCCCACTGTGGGGTGCAAGAGGTATGTGGGGCACGGCGTGGGGCTGCCACGGACAGGGTGGCCCTGTGTCCCTGGCTCTGCTCCCTGCTCTTTGTGTCCGTTGCCTGCTCATGTCCCCCCACTTCTCACGCCAGCTGTGAGTGCCACCCGACAGGGTCGCGTGACAGCGAGTGCCACGCAGTGACGGGGCAGTGCTCCTGCCAGCCAGGTGTCACGGGGAGGCAATGTGACCGCTGCCAACACGGCTTCTTTGGCTTCTCTGCCAGGGGCTGCCGAGGTAATGGGGGTGGAGACTGCGCCTCTGTCCCTCAGGCAGGGCTGGCAGGCACAGCGTGACACCTCTCTGCCGCCGCTGCAGCCTGCAACTGCTCCCCACTGGGCTCCGTCACCCCGCAGTGCCACGAGAACAGCACCTGCCTCTGCCGCCCCGGCTTCGTGGGCTACAAGTGCGACCAGTGCCAGGCCAACTTCTTCCTCGACCCTCTGAGCTCCCACTGCCAGCAGTGTCCTGCCTGCTACGGGCTGGTGAAGGACAAGGTACAGCCCGTGCGCTGCTGAGACGGGCACAGCACCCCGACCCCTGCCCCGCCTTACTGTCCCCCTGTGTCCTGCTCACAGGCTGACCAGCTGAAGGCCAGGCTGCAGGAGATGGAGGAATGGCTGCAGAAACCAGGCTGTAATGCCCACCCAGGCCAGTCTCTCATGCTGGGGGATGCACCCCGGGGAGATGGGCTGCCCAGCTCACACCTCCTGCAAGGTACAAGGGTCCCTACACCCCTATTCCTCATCTCCTGCAAGGTGTAGGGGAATCCTCTTTTTTCCACCATGGGAGTCACCATATGACCCCTCTGGGTGCCCTCAGCTCCTGCAGGGTGGGGTGACATGCTGGGTGAGTGCAAGGAGTTCCCAGGTCAGCACTGGGGTCAGTGTGGGTGACAGGGTGACCCAGAGAGGAGGGCAGAGGGGGAATATGTGGGGCGTGGGGTGTGGGCCATGGGGCAGCCCCACAGGCAAGCAGGGATCCCTGAGCACCTCACAACGAGGTGCTTGTGGACAACGAGCTGCTTGTGCTGCCCACAGGTGCCTGGGCCACCCTGTTGGCACAGGTGGGGCAGCTGGCAGGGGCTCTGAGCACTGCACAAGGCCGCCTCACCAGTGCCAGCCAGGCCACCAGCTGCTCTGGCCACGGACCCCCAAGACCTGCATCCTGCTGTCAGAGATCGGGGTCGTGCTGCAGTCAGCACAGCGGGAGATCCTGAATGCTGCAGACACCCTGGCTACCACAGTGAGCTGGGCTCCTGGGGGGGCTGGTGGCAATCCTGGGGGGCAGTGGGATGTACCCCCAGGACTGGTGGGGTGGGATGTGACCGTCATAGTGGGTGAGCAGGAAAGCCTGGGGTCTGTGTGTGGATAACCCTCCTTGCAGCTGAGTCAAGAGGAGCTATTTCCCTCGCTCCAGCCCTTTGGGAGGGTCTTGGTGCTGGGCTGGTGGGGCTTGAGAGTCCCTCCTCCTTGCCAGGGTCTCACTGCTGCTGTTTGCATTTCAAGGAGATTCCCCAGGAAATCCCAGGGCAGCCCACAAACTGGAGCCACTGGGCACTGGAGGCACGGGCTCTGTCCAAGAGGTATGGCTGCAGCAGGCAGACGAGGTGGCTGCCCAGCCGGGGATGCGGGGAGGCCGCTCCTTTCTCAGGGGGCCAATCCTAATATCCCGTCTCTGAGTGTCCTTGTCCCTGCAGCCACGAGGGCGCTGTTGCAGAGGTGGAAGCGGTGGTCAGGAGAGCGCTGCGTGCCTCCAACGCCAGCTCCGAGCTCCTGCGGAGTCTGCTGGAAGGGAACGCCACGCGGGATGCGCAGCGTGAGCTGGAGGCTGGGTGAGGGGCTGGCAGGGCACCACAGCTCCTTCCCTCTGGCCAGGTCCCTGTTACGGGACTCGATCACAGTGATTTGGCGTCTGCCCAACAGGGGGATGTGCTGAGTCCTGTCAAAATCATTGCACCATAGAGTTGCCAAGTAGAAAGACAGGGTGCTCCATACTGTGGGTGTCGAGGAAAAGCCCTCTGCCTTTTCTGCTACATCCGTTTCTGGAGCCAGGTTTCCCTCCTTTGAGGGACCAGAGGGCCCAGGCTGACAGCAGCATCCTGTCCACACAGGTATGAGGAGATCCAGCGGGCGCAGGAGGAGCTGGGTGTGGGCATGGAAGAGGCCAGGAGAGCTTTGTCAGCCGTGCAACAGGCAAATGCAGACATGGCCAAGAAACTTCTGCAGGTGGCTGCTCTGGGGCAGGTGAGCAGCACCCAAGCTACAGCTCCTGCTGGTAACCCTACCCCCTGAGCAGTGCTGCCTCCTGGGCTGGGAGATGCTCTCACAGAGCTCTGGCATTCCTGACCCCACAGCAGGTACTGCCAGTGCAAGCTGGAGCCCTGGCACAGGACCTGGCTGTGCTGGAGCAGACAGCAACAGCCCAGGAGCTGTTGGCTCAGCAGGCTGTCAAGGCATCCCGCACACTGGCAGCTGGATTGCGCCTGGAGCTGCAGAGGACTCATGGCTTTGAGCAGGTAACTGCTTGCTCACTTGCATGGGGAACCCCATCCCTGTTGCTCCAGTGACAGGAGAGACTGTGCCTACAGCCAGGGAAAGGATGTTTTGGGAGACATCTCCCCTTGGGCTCACGGGTCTCCCAAGGAGCTCCCATGCCAAATGAGAGCACTCCTCAGCCTCACTCCTTCCCTGTCCTCTCCTCTCTCAGCTGCGGGACCGGGCTGGCTCTGCCCGTGACACGGCCACCTCGGCTGTCTCACATGGAAAAGCTGTGCACTCTGATGCTGAGTCCCTCCTGGCCAGCTTGGAAGGTAAAAGGCACCAGTCAGAGCATGTCCAGCCACAGCTTGGCTCTCACCACACTGGCTCTAGGTGCCAAGTGGAGAAGGGCCCATTTGCCCCCACAGTTTGGTGAAGGCCAATGTGTCCCCACAGGCATGAGGAAGATGCTGCGGCATCGGAAGGGCCTGGCTGCCCTGAGGAGGAGGATGGCCACTGTGCGGAACAGGGTTTTGGTGGATGCCCAGAAGAAGATTAAACAGGCAGAGAAGACACTGGGAAACTCCTTGTCCATCTCCACCACGGCCCAGAGGACAGCTGGAGAGGCTGAGCAAGTCTCTGAGGAGAGTGCCAAGGTTTGAGTGGGGAGTGGGGAACTGCTGGGCATAGCCAGGCTGGCAGCCACCACAGGCAGAGCCCAGTCTGCTGCAGGCAGGGCTGCATGTCCCCAGGTGACCGTCCCCACCTCCATTCCTTCGCAGAGGGCACGGGCTGTGCTGCAGGAGAGCAAACGGGCCCACAAGCATGCCAGACAGCTCGCCAGGCGTGCCAATGAGACCCAGGGGGAGCTATCGCGACAGGAGCACATGGCTGAGAAGCTCAGGGGGGACCTGGAGGAAGCACACCAGGTAAGTTGGGTGCCCTTGGGCAGGCTGTGTCCTCTGGAGCCTGGGTGGGCTCGGGGATGTTCCTGGGATCCCCTTTCCCATCCAGTCAAGGGCCAAGAGGGTCCCTGATCTGGGTTTCTGCCTCTTTTGGAAGGTGGGGACGGATGTGAGTGAGATAGCAAAAAGTCTCCAGGAAGCCCGGGGCTCACTCATGTCGGACATCGAGACCCTGAACAACCTGCTGAGCAGCCTCGGTGAGACCTGGGTGGGAATGGGGGGCAGGGTCCCAGGGAAGGGCTGGGTTCTCAGGGGCCCAGGGCTCTCCTGATCACTGATGCTGGGCGTCCTTCTCACCAGCCATCCAGGCTGAGCTGGGTGCTCTTTGGCTGAGATCACCCATGGTCTCAGTGAAAATTCTTGAAAGTTCATGTCTTGAGGAGAACCCCCATGAAGAATGAATTTGGGCTTACTGAATGTGCGTGCTCATGCCTGGTGTGGGGACACTGATCTCCCTTGGCACCTTCAGAAGGAGCAGGGCTGGGTTAAGAGCTCAGTCCCTTTGGAGCTGAGGGATGTACTGGGCTGGGTTGACTCCTTGTTGTTGGTTGGTTTTGCTCCAGCTTCTCCTGCTTTGATCATCTGGGTACATCTCTGAGTACTCCAGGAGTCCTGCATCCAAGAAATTTTGTAAAGGGGTAGACATCATCACCCATCTCCGGGCCCTGCCTGGAGCCACAGTCCTGTTTGCTTATCTGTGATCATTGGAAAGCTGCAAAGCCTCCATGCCCTGCTGCACCTGCTCCCTATAGTTTGCCTGGTGCCAAGGGTCTGAGCCCCTGGAGCATGTCCAGAACCTCTCCTGCCTGGCTGCCTGCTCTCATTCATGTCCTCTCCCCTCGTCCAGGCAAGCTGGAGCAGGACATGGAGGTAGAGGCTGTGCTGAGCGCCGGGCAAGTGCAGCTGGAGCAGCTGTGGCAGCGCCTGGCCACGCCGGGCTCCCTGGCCGGCCAGCTCAGCCGGCTGCAGCAGGAGGCAGCCCGGCAGCAGGAGAAGATCCAAGCGTTCGAGAGTGACTTGGCTGAGATCCAGGCTGACAAGCGGAACCTGGAGGATATTTTGCGGAGCCTCCCCGAGGGCTGCTCGAAGTGACCAGCTGCTGGCTGCTGCCCCATCCCCTCTGTGCCCCCCTGCACAGGGAAAGGCAGAGGGAAGGACACCCTGTGTTAACCAGCATCAATCCCTCCCACTGCTACTCACACTGCCCTCCACAGAGTATCTCACCCCAGGTCTTTATCTGTACCGGTTCAGGCTCTGCATTCCGAGTGCTCTGCAGCAAGACTCCAGCCACCAGCTCAGTCCTTGGGATGGGGGGACAGCCAGCTTCCAGGGGCCACCAACGTTTCTGTGCAGGATGAGGAGCCATCACAGGGCTGGTTTCTCACCTTGGAGTGAACAAAGAACCATCACAGATTTCCTCCATCCCTCCTTCCCCACCACAGCATGGCACACTGGGCAGGGAGAGATTACCAAGTATGTGACATACCCAAGCTGTAACACCCAGCAGTCCCTCCTCCTGCCCCAGGAGATGAGAGAGGCTCTCACCTGCTGCACAGTACCTTGCAGTATCATGCCCATGTGCTGTGGTCATAGAGGTGCAGAGAGGAATCCCTGTGAAGGGAGGCAGAGAGCTGCTCACCAGCGGGCATACAGCTTGTCTGTTTTCCAAGGGAAGGGAGGTTGCAGCAGGCAGGGCTAAATTAACAAGCAGAAGCAAAGCTGGACCCTTACACAGCTCCTGGCAGGCAGGTGGGGCATCCTCTACCTGCTGCAGGGTAAGGGCAGGTCAGCTCTTGCTGTTCCCCTGCTCCAGGGCAGCACAACGCTGCTGTTGCTTGCTTTAAGCCAGCCCCATGACTGCAGTCCCAGGGGCTGGGTGGCACAGGCACTAGGCTGAGAGGTGGGAGGGCTGCATCACCCACAGCCCCACATCAGCACCTGCGCCCCCTCCCCACTGGGAGGAGCTGGCTGGTGGCACCAGGCTGTGCAGCCAGCACAGACTGGATGGGGAAAGGCTGGACACCAGCTCCTGCCAGTGTCACTCCCACGAGGTGGCAGAGGTCGGTGGCTGTATTGCCTTTAAAGGAAAGGCATGTGTGTTCCCCTGTGCTCCCATGCGGGCTGGGCTGTGTGGCCACGCAGGCAGGTCCTGGCTCAGCCCACCCTGTGCTGGCTGTGCCGTGACTCCAGGTAGATGAAGTCATTCCCATAAGACCCAAAACATGTCCCCAGGCTGGAGCAGGTTTCATTTTTTAACCAGTTTTACCTGTCTTTTTCTGCTCACAGTGCTGGAAATCAGGTTTGCTAAAGTCTTGTGTAATTTATGTAAAATTGCTGCCATGGATGTTGAATTCCCCCAGCAACATCTTCAGTGTGTCCAGTGGCCTGAAAGGGACATGGGATTTTCCTACTGAGAACAAACCCTTTGCCCTCATAATTCTGCACAAAAGCTGCCCAAGGAGTGGGGTGCCAGAGCTGGGGGGATGTAATGGCGGGGCCCCCTCCCTCTGCCCAAGGACAGCTCTGGGAAAGCAAAATCATGGAGCAGTGAGAGCACAGTGTCATCCGGCTTGGCCAGAGGCAGGGAGCCATGGCCACTTACCGTCTCCCTGGGAGGACAATTATACATCTCCAGTGAACACACAAATTTGCTGCTGTTACAGAAATGTCAAGCCTCTGCCGTGTGCCTGCTGATGAAGATGTGGTTCATGCTCCCTCCTGCTCTCCCCAGAATTCTGTGTTTTTAGCTGGCAACACCTGCCTAGAGCTGTATCCATTAAAAATTCTTAATACAACACGCAGCTGCCCGGCCAGGGCGCGTGGCAGCGGGAGGGCAGACGCTGTACCTGCTCTTGCCGCTTTTAAAGAGCAGGGGCTGAAATGCGGCCGGATTTGGAGTGGTGAGGGGCGAACGCCCGACAAGTCCTGCTACACACCACTTTAGTACATGTTCCCAACATAAGGGGTCAGGCTGAGATCGCGGGGGCGATCGCCACAGCAGCTCCAGGCCGGGACACGCATCAGCCCGGCTGCGGCTGTCCCTCGGTCCATCCCTTGTCCCGCTGCTCGCTCTCCAGGGTCTATCCAGCAGCTGGAAAGCGGCTGTGGAGTATCGCCCCCCACGGAGCTCCCGCGGGGGAGCCGCGGCGCGGGGATGCCCATCCCGGGGCGGCTGCGGAGCGATGCCCGATGTGCAGAAGGGGCCGGTCCCTTCCCCGCCGCGGGGATCCCACGGGCGGCGGTGCCTGGAGGCCCCCGCGGGTCCGCGCTGCCCTCCCGGTGCCGGGCGGGCTCCGCCACCCTCTCGCTGCCGGCGGCGGGCGGGGAAGGGGTTAAGGGCGGGGGGCGGAGGGCCCGGCCCGGCCCTGCCCGCCCCTATTTAAGGCGGCGGCGGGCGCGGGGCGGCTCGGTGCGATGGCGGCTCCGCGCCGGCCGAGCGGCGGGGGGCTGCGGAGGGCACCGCAGGACGGGCGGCTGGAGGAGATCAACAAGGTGCGGCCCCGGCGGGGGAGCGGGCTGGGGGCGGCCGGGAGGGCAGGGGTTGGCGAGGAGGAAGAGGAGGAGGAGGAGGAGGGTGGTGGGTGTAGGGGGAGCTGCCGCCCCCTTTGCCCGACCCCTTTGGAGAGGGGGATGTGGCCAGAGGAGGCGGGGGGTGCCCGGCGGGGGTCGTGCTCCATCCTCACCGCGCCTTGGTGTTGCCCTCGCAGGTGGCTCTTTCCCCGCAGTGCCGTGGGGACCGGCTGCCGTGAAAGTTCCCCTTGGGAACTTGCTCCAGCAAGAACAGGGTCTGTTGTTCTCCTGGAGGATTTCAACCTCCCCTTCACTGTATTGAGCGCTTCAACTTCTTTCTCAACTTCTTCTTCCCGGAATGAGGAGCTGCTGCTGCTCAGAGCTGACTCCAGCCGTTTTAGCTTTTCTCTACAGCAGGTGGTGAATGTGTAGCCCAGGATGGCTGGACCTGCCACAAACCTTGAGCAGGGGGAATGGCAGCTCCTGGATTAGTGCAAAGTGCGCTGGGCTTTGTGCCCTTCACGCCAGGGTCAGGCAAGGTCCTTTCCCTGGAGCTTCGGGCTTGCCCTGTCCCTTGCTTGGCATGGCGGCAGGGGCAGTTCTCTTGGCATCCCTCCCGGCTAAGAGCGGTCCTGAGGGAGAAAAGAAGGGTTTAACCTTGAAACAATCAATGCTGGGATTTCTAGGGTAGTTTCCAGGTGGGTTTGGTGGTTGCCTTCTCCTATAGCCAGTGGCACCTTGGTGTTCCAGGTGGAGAAGTCTAATCGCTGCATAAGATGAGAGCCTGGAGGAGACAGTGGCTCACCTTGCCCTCAAACTGCCTGAGCTGTGAGAAGTGCCAATATGTTCCACCAGACAGCAGTGAGACAGCGGAGGTCAAGTTTATGTAGGTCACTGGAGAGGGAATTAAGTCATTAGTTAAGTCATTAGAAATGATTCAATTAATTAGAAACTAGGGTGTGCTGCTGTGGAATAAGAGTGGAAAAAGAAGTGCTCCAGCATTAAGGTGTAGAATAAGAACACTTGGCTAAAAAGGAACCCTTGAAAGGCAGACACGGCACATTCTGCTCCAAGAAGGGGCATAGGTGAGCCTAAGATATCTCCCCTAGCCAAGGTGGAGTTGGCCCTTAGGTTGAGGATGAAGGGACTGTGGTGTACCTACTGCTGCAGCTTCTGCTGCTCCAGAACCATCCTCCAGTGTCACTCAGGCACAGGATGGATATGTGATCTTTCAGCTGGTGAGAGCTGTAGGACTGAGTCTGAGAAGCTGTGCTTCCTGGGATGCTGCTGGTTTGCCTCTGCTGTGTCCCAGGGTTGGGGGCTCTTCCTTCTCCCATACAGGGGACACAAGCTCCTATCAATCCCCTAAGCTGCCATCATTTCTGGTTGTTTTTTTTTTCTTTGGGTGAGGTCTGTATGAAAAAAACAAAACAAGCTCCATAACTTCCTGCTGATGGAGCTGCTTGTTCGCATCCTTGCTGCCCTATGTGTTGGCTCAGTACTGGGAGAGGGGGTTTGAGCAGCTCAAAACCAAGCTGCAGATAGCACGGGTAGCAGCTGCCCGTGGATCCTGAGAAGCCATCGTGCTCAGGGCAGCAGCCCCCACGCTGCCCTGCTATGCTCTCTCTGCCAGCTCTGCGTGGCAGTGCGGGAGTGCAGTGTGAACATTCGCACACCTCTCAGTCACAGAGCTGATAAAGAAACTTGGGCTGATATTGTGGCTGGAGCCAGGGAGGGGGTTTCCCAAGACCCGGAGAGCCCCTGGGTTGTAAAACAGTCAAGTGCTCCTAATAAAGCAAATCAGGCCGAATTCCTGTCTGGCTTAGTCTCACTGTCTCATCCTAACAATTAGCTCCCTCCCAGCCCTGTTTTCCTGGCTGGTTTCTTCCCTGGAGCTCTCACTGGGATAAGGGTCTGGCAGGCAGCATCCTGAGTGCACATGTGCTGCTGAAGGACAGCTGAGTCCTAGTATTGACTTCTCTCTTCCAGCTTGAAAACGCTCCTCTGGGGTCCCCTCTTGCCTGTTCCCCTCTTCCTAGGGAAGGCAATCACATTGTTCAGCCTCGTGCATCAAGGTGGCAAGTCTAATCCAGCACAGATTAGTTTCAACCTAGTTTTACCCACTAATACGCTGGGCTGTGGGGAAGAAATTCAGCCTGTTAGAGAGCAGATGACCACTTCTTTCATCCGGGGCAGGCAGGAGCATCCCTCAGCCCCTTCCCAGCACCAGCAGGCAGGGCAGCTGGTACTGAACACTTAAACATCTCAAAGAGCTTGGCCTGCCAGTTGGGGTCACCTTTTTGGGGAGCAAGGAAGAATCTGTTTTTGCTTAGGTTGCCTTGCAGGTAGCTGGGACTTGTGTGACTGAGGTTATTGGCTTAGAAAAGTCTCTCAACAGCTCAAGAAAGGCTGTTCAGGGCAGGAGCGGGGGAGAGGCTTATTAAGCAGTTCTTATTAATAGAACATGCCCCTTAAAATGGGAACTTTAGCAAAGGGCTCTAGGAGGAACTTCAGCCACTCTGAGTCACAGGCCCTGGGGACTGAATTCCTGTGTGCTATTGTGAGTGTTTGCCTTATCGCAGTCACAGCCCAGCTCACACACAATGTGGAGGGTGGAATGCCTTTCAAATACAACCCCCCTATTGCTTCCTTCCACCTGGAGCAGAGCTGGGGTGCTGGTGGTCTATCCAGTCCCCCTCAGGTTGAAACTCAAGGGGTCCTAGATGTGCTCAGTGTCACTTGTCCTGCTCTTGCACCTTGCTGCTGGTCACTTCTGCTGCTGCCTGAGCCCAAGTCTCAGAGCTCAATTGGGCCCTTTGTGTTGGGCTGGTAAATGATACCCCTGGGTAGAAATAACGGAGATAAATGAAATTGAGTTGGCAGAGGAGAGCGAAAGAAGGAACTGGGAATGTCGCTTTTCACCACAGCTCTCAATTTGAGCTGGTGACCATGGTGATGAGGGAAGTCAGTGTCACACTGGTTTAATGGGCATGGTCTCTGGTGGCACGTCTGGAGTTCACGAGGTAGGAGGGCAGGATGGCAGTCACTTCTGTCCTAGTGGGTTTCCTCTACAAAACCTTAGTTCAGCTGCAGGTAAAAGACTTGCCATAGCAGTGATTAACTGGCAGTGAAGATTTGAGGACTCCCTGGGCAGGTCCAAGCTCCCCTGTCCCAGTGAGGAAGGAGGAAGCAGCTCCAGGTGTATGGGCTGGAGGGACCCAGAGCAGAGGAACAGGATTAGGGTGACTGACAGTGATCAGCACACAAGGCTGGTTGTGGCAGCAGAACCAGGCATGAGCCTGGGGCTGTGTCTTTGCTGGAGCTTCTCCAGCAGCCAGACTGGCACAGTTCATCTCACCTGGGGATAGCTGGATTCAGTGTGCCTTGGAGGCTGGAGAGCATCTGGTCATGTGGATCTCCTGCAGTCCTGATGCTTTAGGTAGGGTTTCATTGGGTAGGTGGTCTCATTAATCACAAGCAACACTGCCCCAGAACTACCAGAGCCAGAAATCCTCTTCTCTTAGTGACCCACTCCTGTCTTCCCCATGAGCACGGAGAACAGCAGTGAAGAACACATACCCAGCATAGGGAACAGCCTCAGCCTTCCATCCACAAACCCCTGGAGGGGTTTGTCCTGGACAGGCCATGCATAAGCTGTGCAGATGTTAATGATTTCTACACTGAAGAATGTGGTGTTGTTGCTGAACACAGATCAAGTCATTAAGCTGTGCTGGGCTCGCTGGAGCTGGGCGGTGTGGGAGGGCAGGGACAGGAGCAAGACCCTGCTGATCGCAGCTGCAGGGGGGTGTTGCTGGCAGGGCAAAGCAGTAGAGCTGGCTGTGCAAGTTGTGGTCTGTTCTCTTGGGTATCTGAAGGTTTTTAGGGGTGGGGCTAGGCACAAGTGACCAGAAGTGACCCAGGATTTCCCCTCCAGTGTGAGCAGGGTAGGGGGAGAAAATGGATAGCTGCTCTGAGAGAGTGAGAGCCTTTCCCTTAGCCCCACATTCCCATCCTCTTGGGTGTATGACATTCTGCAAACTTTGCCTGTTCTATTTGCAAGCCCTCAGAGGTTATCCAAGAGTTTGAAGTGTGAGATAAGAGTGCTTTTTGCAAGGACTAGGAGCCCTTGCTGGGAATAGGTGCCCAATCCACGTGCTATATGTGCTTAAGCCTTCAGTGGGGAGCTGAAACCTTGGGTCAGCAAGAAGATGGGGTTTCATGCAGTTATTTCAAAGGCACATGGAGTCCCGTCTTCCCTTAAGCTGCTGGTGGGAAATTTGAGACACCAGAGGGATTCCCTTTGCACTGGAATTTTAATGACAAGGTGTGGAGGC